CCGTCTCATTGATTTGACTAAAGGCATCAAGTTCCCGCACCACTTTATTCGTCTAACTAAATCGGTTAAGGCCGATCTGGTCATCTGGCAGTCCTTTTTGGACGAATTTAATGGCCGATCGTTTTTTCTCAGTGATGTTTGGAATGATTCCTTCAGTTTAAACCTATATACCGATGCTGCCGGTAGTTTGGGCTACGGTGCTGTATTCGGTGATGAGTGGTTTTTCGGTGCGTGGCCCCCCAATTGGAGGCAATTAAACATCGCGATTTTGGAATTTTACCCAATTGTACTCAGCGTACTCGTATGGGGAGATAAGATGCGAAACCAGCGTATCACCTTTTTTACGGATAATGCGGCATTGGTCGATATTATAAATAAAGCCACTTCACGCGATGTGACTGTTATGATATTTGTTCGCCGACTGGTGCTGGCTTGTTTGAAATTTAACATTTTATTCCGCGCTCGCCATGTACCGGGTGTCAAAAATGTTTTAGCTGACGCTTTATCTCGATTGCAGGTTTCGAAGTTCAAACAGCTAGCTCCGGTGGGTGTACAATCGTCACCAACGGTCATACCAGCCCAACTACTCCCGTACAACTGGCCGCTCTAACAACTAAATTACTTCAATCTAGTTTGCAGCCATCATCGGTCCCTACTTATCGCCGGGCCTGGAAACTATATAGCCAATTTTCAAGTGCAGTTTTTTACTCAGCTTTAGTCTCACTGCCTATATCGCCCGCCAACTTAAGCCTATTTATTTCGTACATGTTTCAACGCAATTATGCGGCCTCGACGGCCAACACGTACGTTTCTGCACTGGGATATTGTCATCGTCTTGCAGGGGTGAACGACCCAACTAAAGTTTTTTGGATTGTCGAAATGTTGAAAGGCTATGGTAAGCTTGGGTCATGCATTGATACACGCTTGCCCATAACTCTCCCTATCCTTCGCACCGTATTACAGCAAACTCCAACTATATGTTCGAGTGAGTATCGGGGGTACTTGTTCAAAGCTATGTGCACGACCGCATTTTTTGCCTTTTTGCGAGTTGGCGAAATCACTTGTTGTCCACGGTCACCAGACGTACTGCAATTGAGGCAGGTCGTTCAACTCGTGGATAATGCGGGCAACGTCAGCGGTTTAAAAATAACATTTTTGAATTTTAAGCATTCTTACAACCAAGCTAACGTCTCGCTCACTCTTCAACGACGTTCAGACGTATGCCCAGTGCAGAGCTTACTAGATTATTTTGCACATCGTGGTTTAGCTGATGGCCCTCTTTTTCAAACTCGTGACGGGCATGCAATTTCACGCAAAATGTTCACAGACCATTTAGCTATTATATTTCGCACGTGCGGTCTCGATGCAAACAGGTACAAAGGACATAGTTTTCGCATCGGTGCGGCTACATTTGCTGCCGAATGCGGTTTTTCCGATGCCCAAATACGACTAATGGGCCGTTGGAAATCCGACGCTTTCCGCAAGTATATTCGTGCTCCTAGTTTGTGACTTAAATCAGACACTCCGACTATACAGGTCGGGCTTTTTGTAGGGATTGATTGTGGCTGCTTGTTGATAAACCCGTTTAGTAATTAGTACACTTTGTCAAGTCGACGCAAGGGCAAGACTTGATATAATATAGGAATGTGCGTGTTAAGATACTAGAAATGTACGTGTCACTTAATCACTGTTTTACGTTCTCTGTGAGGCTAACGCATGGGCAAGGCTTCTACACAACCGTTCGCTTTAGCAGGTTGGCGGTCCCCTGGCAGTTTAACGCATGGGCACAAACTGTTGGCGGTCGCTTACCATGTTTTTGCTTAATAATGACAGTAATAATCCACGCACTGATTTCGCTTTGGAGTTTTTTTTATAGGTTTTAACGTCACTGTGTCTGCTGATACCTTGTAACGATTGGATGGGGTATGCCTCCTTTACCCAAGGAAACTCGTGGCGTATTTATTACCCCACCTTTTCTGTGCGAACTTTTAATAATTAACTTCGGTTTATAATTTGTTATGTTAATAATTATCTCATTGTTTTAAAAAATTAATAAATCGGCATGTGCGTTGCGCAAGACGCACATTGCCATAATTATTACAGTTGCTGTCTGACTTGGTCAATTGCGCAATGTTCGCGCACAGAAAACAGAGCTAATCGTTGCAGGATATCTTGCTGACATAGTGTTAAGAAAAGGAAGCGATAAAGGAATTATTGGCATACCAATAAAGATTTTATTGCTTCCTGTATCTAGTTTTAGAGATAGGGAGCTATTGTAATGGAACACGTGGGTATTAGCCCCGATAATTTGTAGTCACATGAATGTAATGCGCAGGAAGGGGATAGGAGTGGTGATATAATCTACAGCAGTATGTGCATCAGTTCATTCTACTCTTCAATCTGGTCGCGCAAGGTCAACTCTCTGGCCGAAGTCAATTGATATCCCACCCTCCTCCCCGTTACTTGACGCAATATTATTACATATGTAAGTTAGTTTAATTATTAGATTAATTTCTAAATGGTGGGCGTATTTATTACCCCACCTTTTCTGTGCGAACTTTTAATAATTAACTTCGGTTTATAATTTGTTATGTTAATAATTATCTCATTGTTTTAAAAAATTAATAAATCGGCATGTGCGTTGCGCAAGACGCACATTGCCATAATTATTCCAGTTGCTGTCTGACTTGGTCAATTGCGCAATGTTCGCGCACAGAAAACAGAGCTAATCGTTGCAGGATATCTTGCTGACATAGTGTTAAGAAAAGGAAGCGATAAATGTTATTATGTTTGTGTCCTACAACTGCCTTTATTGTTTTAACTCTGATTGGCTATTTCTGGCATGAGTATTCATGCCATATTTAATGTATTGTTTTGATAATTGGTTAATGCTATAACTAAATAATGATATATTTAGTGATTGTAACTATATTTAGCTTTATGTTTGCGATGTTACTCTGAGTGCATATCCACACCAGGCGAGCTTGAAAAATATGCCCGGGCACGGTGGCCGGGCATATTTTTCAAGCTCGCTTGGTGTGGATATGCACTCAGAGTAACATCGCCAACATATTATTCACCTGAGTACACAACACCAACACAGAAAAAATTATATTTAGCTTGTTGTTATTATGTGAAATTGACATTTTTTCTGGCACATTTTGATTGGATACCAAAAATAAAACTATAGCGTGGGTGGAAAGTAACTCTGAATGGATAAAAACTTGCATCAGTCTCTCTATGTAATTACAGAGCATAATTGCAGGTTAATGAGATTTCTAATAGTAATTAATGCAACATTGGTTAGAAGACTAAGGGGGAGTTTACATGAAAGGTAATTGTTTCAAGTTGCAACTTCCAGTGGTATCTCCTATTTCATTTTCATTTTATATGGAAATGAGCTGCCATGCCTTGTGACGGGGTCTTTCTTTGCATTGCCTGAGTTATTGGGCAATTACTATACACTAGCTGGATATTTTGCAAACAAAGATGAATACCTGGGTTTGCTCGCCTCCCATAGTTGAGTGTTTATATGCTTTGTCTGTGCAAATATAATTTGATTTAAGCTGTATATATATCATATGACGTTCTCCTGACAGATTTAATCTTAGAATCGATGATAAAATGATGGACGGTATAAATACCGGTATAAATATACTGTAACTGGTGTATTCAGGTTATAATTATGAAATTTGCTCACAAAAGTGGGATAGTTTGGAAAATATATTTAATTTAATTATATATTTGTAATGCTAATTATCCCAGTATTATGCTTTGGATAGCCAGCATGCCACCCTGAGGATTACGATTACCATTGATAAGTGTATGGATATATTTGACAAGATAATATAGGGAAAATTAAAGGAGTACTGTATTAATATTAGTTGAAAGGCAGGCAAAAGGGGACAGATAGAAGACATATGATTAAATTATGTCATGTTTATCATTGTCCAGTTTGGTATTGGTTTATTTAACAAACAATTTCAAATTAAGATAGCTTCATTAAATTAATTTACACACAGTCTCTATTGATTTAAAACGTGTGTGTACCTAGTTATTTATTTATATACTTTTAAACCCAGTGTTTATTGTGTATTAGTTTACTGGTTTCCTCGCCAAAAGGCAATATTCTCAGTATTCAGAGTGTGGGCTATTCACCATGCAGTTCATCTGCAAGGCAGCTAGCCTAGGGGCAAATGAAATTGACCAACTGATGCCAACCACACTGTCCATGCAGAGTAAGATTAGCAGCACAAGACAGGGTTGCATATATTTACCCAGTAAAGCACAAAATACCTTTAATCTTTATGCACCATATGTTATTTTACTTTAAATTCTAATGCTAGAAGATTTTACTCATGGAACATTGAATGTCAACATTGGAAATTAATAGGGGAAGGTGGTTCATAAACAACATAATAACACTGTCTTCTGCGTCCAGCAGCGCAACTAGTGGAGCACACTGTATACACCTTTGTTACACAGTATGTGTGTATTTCCGTTGTCGTGATTTTCTGCCGAAATGTTTTTCAATAGAAAAGTTAAGGCTACAAGAAGCACAGTACTGACTATTTTTTAATAGAGACTTACTGCTACTGCTGTTATTACACTTGTACAAGCAAAAAAAAATTTCTTATGTGGAGAAATTATGTTTTTTTTGCGATATAGGTTCAAGTTTTTGACGTGTTTTTCCAAAAATGCAGCAAAATTTTTGTGACTCTGATATAGGATTTGCAACAAAAACAATCGCATTTCCGAGGTCCTAAATTTCTAAATTTCCCGGGGGAGGAAACCTCCGGACCCCCCTACAAATGCGAGGTCTTTTGTATGCATCAGTCAGCTCAGGAGCTGGATCCGCCCCTGGGTTCCTCACACAGAGCACAAGGTTCCTCACTCTGAGAACAAGGTTCCTCACACTGAGGCCAAGGTTCATCACACTAAGAACAAGGTTCCTCACTCTGAAAACAAGGTTCCTCACTCTGAGAACAAGGTTCCTTACTATGAGAACAAGGGTTCCACAATCTGAGGACAAGGTTCCACACACTGAGGACATGGTTTCTGACACTGAGAACAAGGTTCCTCACTTTGAGAACAAGGTTGCTCATTCTGAGGACAAGGTTCCTCACTCTGAAGGCAAGGTTCCTTACACTGAGGACAAGTTTCCTCACTCTGAGGACAAGGTTCTTCACTCTGAGGACAAGGTTCCTCGCTCAGAAGACAAGGTTCCGTCCTCTGAAGGCAGGTTCCTCAGACTGAGGACAAGGTTCCTCGCTCTGAGGAAAAGGTTCCTCACTCTAAAGTCAGGTTCCTCACACTGAGGACAAGGTTCCTCACTCTGAGGACAAGGTTCGTCACACTGAGGACAAGGTTCCGCATTCTGAGAAGAAGGTTCCTCACTCTGAGGACAAGGTTCCTCACTCTGAGGACGAGGTTTTTTGTATGCATCAGTCAGCTCAGGAGCTGGATCCGTCCCTGGGTTCCTCACACAGAGGACAAGGTTTCTCACTCTGAGAACAAGGTTCCTCACAATGAGGACAAGGTTCCTCACAGTAAGAACAAGGTTCCTCACTCTGAAAACAAGGTTCCTCACTCTGAGAACAAGGTTCCTTACTCTGAGAACAAGGGTTCCACAATCTGAGGACAAGGTACCTCACACTGAGGACATGGTTTCTGACACTGAGAACAAGGTTCCTCACTTTGAGAACAAGGTTTCTCACTCTGAGGACAAGGTTTCTCACTCTGAAGTCAAGGTTCCTCACACTGAGGACAAGTTTCCTCACTCTGAGGACAAGGTTCTTCACTCTGAGGACAAGGTTCCTCGCTCTGAGGACAAGGTTCCGTCCTCTGAAGGCAGGTTCCTCAGACTGAGGACAAGGTTCCTCGCTCTGAGGAAAAGGTTCCTCACTCTAAAGTCAGGTTCCTCACCCTGAGGACAAGGTTCCTCACTCTGAGGACAAGGTTCGTCACACTGAGGACAAGGTTCCGCACTCTGAGAAGAAGGGTCCTCACTCTGAGGACAAGGTTCCTCACTCTGAGGACAAGGTTCTCCACTCTGAGGAAAAGGTTCCTCACACTGAGGACAAGGTACCTCACTCTGAGGACGAGGTTACTCACACTGAGGACAAGATTCCTCATTCTGAGCACAAGGTTCCTCACTCTGAGGACAAGGTTTGTCACTCTGAGGAAAAGGTTCTTCACACTGAGGACAAGGCTCCTCACTCTGAGGACAAGGTTCCTCACACAGAGGACAAGGTTCTTCACTCTGAGGAGAAGGTTTCTCGCTCTGAGGAAAAGATTCCGCAGTTTGAAGGCAGGTTCCTCACACTGAGGACAAGTTTCCTCGTTCTGAGGACAAGTTTCCTCACTCTGAGGACAAGGTTCCTCACACTGAGGACAACGTTCGTCTCTCTAAGGACAAGGTACCTAACTTTGAGGACGAGGTTCCTCACACTGAGGACAAGGTTCATCACAATAAGGACAAGGTTCCTCACTCTGAAAACAAGGTTCCTCACTCTGAGAACAAGTTTCCTCAATCTGAGAACAAGGGTTGCTCAATCTTAGGACAAGGTTCCTCCCACTGAGGACATGGTTCCTCACACTGAGAACAAGGTTCCTCACTCTGAGAACAAGGTTCCTCGCACTGAGGACAAGGTTCCTCACTCTGAGGGCAAGGTTCCTCAAACTGAAGACACGTTTCCTCACTCTGAGGACAAGGATCTTCACTCTGAGGACAAGGTCCTCACTCGGAGGACAAGGTACTCACTCTGAGGACACGATTCCGCCCTCTGAAGGCAGGTTCCTCAGAATGAGAACAAGGTTCCTCACTCTGAGGACAAGGTTTCTCACTCTGAGGACAAGGTTCCTCACTCTGAAGTCAGGTTCCTCACTCTGAGGACAAGTTTGTTCACTCTGAGGACAAGGTTCTTCACACTGAGGACAAGGTTCCGCACTCTGAGAAGAAGCTTCATGACTCTGAAGACAAGGTTCTTCATTATGACGACAAGGTTCCTCACTGTGAGGAAAAGGTTCCTCACACTGAGGACAAGGCTCCTCACTCTAAGGACAAGGTTCCTCACTCTGAGGACAAGGTTCTTCACTCTGAGGACAAGGTTCCTCACCCTGAGGACAAGGTTCCGCACTCTGAAGGCAGGTTCCTCAAACTGAGGACAAGAGTCCAGGTTCTGAGGACAAGGCACCTCACTCTGAGGAAAAGTTTCCTCACTCTGAGGACAAGGTTCGTCATTCTGAGGACAAGGTTCCTCACACTGAGGACAATGTTCCTCACTCTGAGGACTGGGTTGCTCACTCTGAGGACAAGGTTCCTCACTGTGAGCACAAGGTTCTTCACACTGAGCACAAGGGTCCGCACTCTGACAACAAGCTTCCACACTCTGAGGCAAGGTTCCTCACTCGGAGGACAAGGTTCCTCACACTGAGGACAAGCCTCCTCACTCTGAGGACAAGACTCCTCACTCTGAGGACAAGGTTCCTCTCAATGAGGACAAGGTTCGTCACTTTGAGAACAAGGTTGCTCACCCTGAGAACAAGGTTCCTCACTCTGAGGACAAGGTTCCTCCATCTGAGGACAAGGTTGCTCACACTGAGGACAATGTACCTCACTCTGAGGACAAGGTTGCTCACTTTGAGTACAAGGTTCCTCAATGTGAAGACAAGGTTTCCTCACTCTGAGGACAAGGTTCCTCACTCCGAGGACAAGTTACCTCACTCTGAGGACGAGGTTCCTCACACTGAGGACAAGGTTCCTCACTCTGAGGACAAGGTTCTTCACTATGAGGACAAGGTTCCTCACCCTGACGACAAGGTTCCGCACTCTGAAGGCAGGTTCCTCACACTGAGGACAAGATTCGAGGTTCTGAGGACAAGGCTCCTCACTCTGAGGACAAGTGTCCTCACACTGACGACAAGGTTCCTCACTCTGAGGACAAGGTTCCTCATTCTCAGGACAAGGATCCTCACACTGAGGACAATGTTCCACACTGTGAGCACAAGGTTCTTCACACTGAGCACAAGGGTCCGCACTCTGACAACAAGGTTCCTCACTCTGAGGACAAGGTTCCTCAATCGGAGGACAAGGTTCCTCACACTGAGGACAAGCCTCTTCACTCTGAGGACAAGGTTCCTCACAATGATGACAAGTTTCCTCGTTCTGAGGACAAGTTTCCTCACTCTGAGGACAAGGTTGCTCACGCTGAGGACAAGGTTCCTAACTCTGAAGACAAGGTTCCTCACTCTGAGGTCAAGTTTCCTCACTCTGAGGAAAACGTTCCTCACGTTGAGGACAATGCTCCTCACTCTGAGGACAAGCCTCCCCACTCTGAGGACAAGGTTCCTCATTCCGAGGAGAAGGTTCCTCACTCTGAGGACAAGGTTCCTCACACTGAGCACAAGTTTCGTCACTCTGAGGACAAGGATCTTCACTCTGAGTAAAGGTCCTCACTCGGAGGATAAGGTACTCACTCTGAGGATAAAGTTCCGCCCTCTGAAGGCATGTTCCTCAGACTGAGGACAAGGTTCCTCGCTCTGAGGACAAGGCTCCCCACTCTGAGCAAAAGGTTCCTCACACGAAAGGCAAGGTTTCTCACTCTGAGAACAAGGTTCCTCACTCTGAGGACAAGGATTCTCACTCTGAGGAGAAGTTCCTTACTCTGAAGCCAGGTTCCTCACTCTGAGGACAAGGTTCTTCACACTGAGGACAAGGTTCCGCACTCTAACAATAAGGTTCCTCACTCTGAGGACAAGGTTTCTCACACTGAGCACAAGTTTCGTCACTCTGAGGACAAGGATCTTCACTCTGAGTAAAGGTCCTCACTCGGAGGACAAGGTACTCACTCTGAGGACAAAGTTCCGCCCTCTGAAGGCAGGTTCCTCTGACTGAGGACAAGGTTCCTCGCTCTGACGACAAGGTTCCTCACTCTGAGGACAAGGCTTCTAACTCTGCGGAAAAGGTTCCACACACAGAGGACAAGGCTCCTCACTCTGAGGACAAGGTTCCTCACTCTCAGGAACACGTTCCTCACACTGACGACAAGGCTACTCTCACTGAGGACAAGGCACCTCACTCTGAGGACAAGGTTCCTCACTCTGAGGAGAAGGTTCCTCACTCTGAGGATAAGGTTCCTCACTCTGAAAACAAGGTACCTCACTCTGAAGACGAGGTTCCACACACTGAGGACAAGGTTCCTCACACTAAGGACAAGGTTCCTCACTCTGAAAACAAGGTTCTTCACTCTGAGAACAAGGTTCCTCACTCTGAGAAAAAGGGTTTCTCAATTTGAGGACAAGGTTCCTCACACTGAGGACAATGCTCCTCACTCTGATAACAAGGTTCCTCGCTCTGAGGACAAGGTTCTTCACTCTGAACGCAGGTTCCTCACACAAAGGACAAGGATGCTCACTCTGAAGGCAGGTTCCTCACACTGAGGACAAGGTTCATCACTCTGAAGGCAGGTTCCTCGCACTGAGGACAAGGTTCCTCACTCTGAGGACAAGGTTCCTCACTCTGAGGACAAGGTTCCTCACTCTGAAGGCAGCTTCCTCACATCGAGGACAAGGTTTCTCACTCTGAGGACAAGGTTTCTTACTCTGAGGACAAGCTTCCTCACTCTGAAGGCAGGTTCTTCACTCTGAGGACAAGGATTCCAATTCTGAGGACCAAGTTCCTCACTCTGAGTAAAAGGTTCCTCACACTGCGGAGAAGGTTCCTCACACTGAGGACTAGGTTCCTCACTTTTAGAACAAGGTTCGACACTCTGACGACAAGGTTCTTCACTGTGAAGGCAGGTTCCTCACTCTGGGGACAAGATTTCCCACTCTCAAGACAAGGTTCCGCACTCTGGGGACAAGGTTCTTCACTCTGAAGGCAGGTTTCTCACCCTGAGGACAAAGTTCCCCACTCTCAGGACAAGGGTTCTCCCCCTGAGGACAAGGTTCTTCGCTCTGTGGACAAGGTTCCTGACTCTAAGGACAAGGTTCCTCACACTGAGGACAAGGTTCCTCACTCTGAGGACAAGGTTGCTCACACTGAGGACAAGTTTCCTCACTGTGAGGACAAGGATCCTCACACTGAGGACAATGTTCCTCACTCTGAGGACAAGGTTCCTCACACTGAGGACCAGGTTCCTCACTCTGAGGACAAGGTTGCTCACTCTCAGGACAAGGTTCCTCACTGTGAGGACAAGGTTCCTCACACTGAGGACAAGGTTCCTCACTCTGAGGAAAAGCTTCTTTACACCGAGGACAAGGTTCCTCACACTGAGGACAAGGTTCCTCACTCTGAGAACAAGGTTCCTCACACTGAGAACAAGGTTCCTCACATTAAGGACAAGGTTCCTCACTCCGAAAACAGGGTTTCTCACTCTGAGGGCAAGGTTCCTCACTCTGAGGACAAGGTTCCTCACTCTGAAGTCAGGTTCCTCACTCTGAGGACAAGGTTCGTCACTCTAAGTCAAGGTTCCTCACTCTGAAGGCAGATTCCTCACACTGAGGACAAGGTTCCTCAATCTGTGGACAATGTTCATCACTCTGAGAACAAAGTTCCTCACCCTGAGGACAAGGTTCTTCACACTGAGGACAAGGTTCCTCAATCTCAGGACAAAGTTACTCCTTTTGAGGACGACGTTCCTTATACTGCGGCCAAGGTTCCTCACACTGAGGACAAGGTTCCTCACTCTGAGAACAAGGTCCGTCACTCTGAGGACAAGGTTCTTCACTGTGAAGGCAGGTTCCTCACTCTGAGGACAAGGTTCGTCACTGTGAAGGCATGTTCCTCGCTCTGAGGACAAGGTTCCCCACACTCAGGACAAGGTACCTCACTCTGACTCTGAGGACAAGTTTCCTTACTCTGAGGAAAAGGTTCCACACAATGGGACGAAAGTTCCTCAGCCTGATTACAAGGTTCCTCACACTGATGAGAAGGTTCCTCACACTGAGAACAAAGTTCCTCACTTTGAGGACAAGGTTCCTCACTCTGAGGACAAGGTTCTTCACACTGAGGACAAGGTTTCCAATTCTGAGGATAAAGTTCCTCACTCTGAGGAAAAGGTTCCTTACACTGCGGACAAGGTTCCTCACACAGAGGACAAAGTTCCTCACTCTGAGAACAAGGTTCGGCACTCTGAGGACAAGCTCCTTCACTGTGAAGGCAGGTTCCTCACTCTGAGGACAAGATTCCCCACTCTCAAGACAAGGTTCCGCACTCTGGGGACAAGGTTCTTGACACTGAAGGCAGGTTTCTCACAATGAGGACAAAGTTCCCCACCCTTAGGACAAGGTTCCTCGCACTGAGTACAAGGTTCCTCATTCTGAGGACAATGTTCCTCACTATGAGGACATGGTTCCTCAATCTCACGACAAATTTCCTCACTCGGAGGTCAAGGTTCCTCACACTGAGATCAAGTTTCCTCACTCTGAGGACAGGGTTCCTCACAATGGGAAGAAAGTTCCTCCCTCTGAGGACAAGGTTCCTCACTCTGAGGACAAGGTTCCTCACTCCGAGGACAAGGTTCCTTACTCTGAGGACAACGTTCCTCACCCGAAGGTCAAGGTTCCTCACTCTGAGGACAAGGTTCCTCACTCTGAGGACAAGGTTCTTCACACTGAGGACAAGGTTCCCCCACATTGAAGACAATGTTCCTCATACTGAGGACAAGGTTCCTCACTCTGAGAACAAGGTTCGCCATTCTGAGGACGATGTTCTTCACTGTGAGGACAAGGTTCTCTCACACTGAGGACAAGGTTCCTCACTCTGAGGACAAGGTTCCTCACACTGAGGACAAGGTTGCTCACTCTCAGGACAAGGTTCCTCACTCCGAGGACAAGGGTCTTCACACTGAGGACAAGGTTACTCACTCTGAGGACAAGGTTCCTCGCTATGAGGACAACTTTCCTCACTCAGAGGACAAGGTTCCTCGCTATGAGGACAACGTTCCTCACTCTGAGGACAAGGTTCCTCACACTAAAGACAAGGTTCCTCACTCTGCAAAAAAGGTTCCTCACTCTGAGGACAAGGTTTCTCACTCTGAGGACAAGGTTCCTCACTCTGCAGTCAAGTTCCTCACTCGGAGGAAAAAAAAGTCCTCACTCTGAGGACAAGGTTCTTCACACTGAGGACAAGGTTCCGCACTCTGAGAAGAAGGTTCATGACTCTGATTACAAGGTTCCTCAGTCTGAGGACAAGGCTCCTCACTCTGAGGAAAAGGTTCCTCACACTGAGGACAAGGCTCCTCACTCTGAGGACCAGGTTCCGCACTCTGAAGGCAAGTTGCGCACACTGAGGCCAAGTTTCCCGGTTCTGAGGACAGGTTTCCTCACTCTGAGGACAAGGTTCCTCACACTGAGGACAAGGTTCCTCACTCTGGGGATAAGGTTCCTCGCTCTGAGGAAAATGTTCCTCACACTGAGGACAAGGCTCCTCACTCTGAGGACAAGGTTCCTCGCTCGGAGGAGAAGGTTCATCACTCTGAGGACAAGGTTCCTCACTCTGAGGACAAGGTGCTTCGCACTGAGGACAAGGTTCCTCACAATGAGAAGAAGGTTCCTCATTATGAGGACAAGGTTCCTCACTCTGAGGACAAGGTTCCTCACGCTGAGGACAAGGTTCCTCACACTAAAGAAAAGGTTCCTCACTCTGCAAACAAGGTTCCTCACTCTGAGGACAAGGTTTCTCACTCTGAGGACAAGGTTCCTCACTCTGCAGTCAAGTTCCTCACTCGGAGGACAAAGTTCCTCACTCTGAGGACAAGGTTCTTCACACTGAGGACAAGGTTCCGCACTCTGAGAAGAAGGTTCATGACTCTGATTACAAGGTTCCTCAGTCTGAGGACAAGGTTCCTCACTCTGAGGAAAAGGTTCGTCACTCTGAGGAAAAGGTTCCTCACACTGAGGACAAGGCTCCTCACTCTGAGGACCAGGTTCCGCACTCTGAAGGCAAGTTGCTCACACTGAGGACACGTTTCCTGGTTCTGAGGACAGGTTTACTCACTCTGAGGACAAGGTTCCTCACACTGAGGACAAGGTTCCTCACTCTGGGGATAAGGTTCCTCGCTCTGAGAAAAATGTTTCTCACACTGAGGACAAGGCTCCTCACTCTGAGGACAAGGTTCCGCGCTCGGAGGAGAAGGTTCATCACTCTGAGGACAAGGTTCCTCACTCTGAGGACAAGGTGCTTCACACTGAGGACAAGGTTCCTCACATTGAGAAGAAGGTTCCTCATTATGAGGACAAGGTTCCTCACTCTGAGGACAAGGTTCCTCACGCTGAGGACAAGGTTCCTCACTCTGAGGACAAGGTTCTTCACACTGAGGATAATGTTCCTCAAACTGAGGACAAGGTTCCTCACTCTGACAACAAGGTTCTTCACACTGAGGACAATGTTCCTCACTCTGAGAACAAGTTTCCTCACTCTGAGAACAAGGGTTCTTCACACTGAGGACAAGGTTCCGCACTCTGAGAACAAGGTTCCTCACTCTGAGGGCAAGGTTCCTCACACTGAAGACAAGCTTCCTCACTCTGAGGACAAAGATTTCCCCTTTGAGGACAAGGTCCTCACTCTGAGGACGAGGTCCTCATTCTGAGGACAAGCTTCCGCCCACTGAAGGCAGGTTCCACAGACTGAGGACAAGGTTCCTCGCTCTGAGGACAAGGTTCCCCACTCTGAGGACAAGGTTCCTCACTCTAAAGACAAGGTTCCTCACTCTGCAAAAAAGGTTCCTCACTCTGAGGACAAGGTTTCTCACTCTGAGGACAAGGTTCCTCACTCTGCAGTCAAGTTCCTCACTCGGAGGAAAAAAAAGTCCTCACTCTGAGGACAAGGTTCTTCACACTGAGGACAAGGTTCCGCACTCTGAGAAGAAGGTTCATGACTCTGATTACAAGGTTCCTCAGTCTGAGGACAAGGCTCCTCACTCTGAGGAAAAGGTTCCTCACACTGAGGACAAGGCTCCTCACTCTGAGGACCAGGTTCCGCACTCTGAAGGCAAGTTGCGCACACTGAGGCCAAGTTTCCCGGTTCTGAGGACAGGTTTCCTCTTCCTCACTCTGAGGACAAGGTTCCTCACACTGAGGACAAGGTTCCTCACTCTGGGGATAAGGTTCCTCGCTCTGAGGAAAATGTTCCTCACACTGAGGACAAGGCTCCTCACTCTGAGGACAAGGTTCCTCGCTCGGAGGAGAAGGTTCATCACTCTGAGGACAAGGTTCCTCACTCTGAGGACAAGGTGCTTCACACTGAGGACAAGGTTCCTCACATTGAGAAGAAGGTTCCTCATTATGAGGACAAGGTTCCTCACTCTGAGGACAAGGTTCCTCACGCTGAGGACAAGGTTCCTCACTCTGAGGACAAGGTTCTTCACACTGAGGATAATGTTCCTCAAACTGAGGACAAGGTTCCTCACTCTGACAACAAGGTTCTTCACACTGAGGACAATGTTCCTCACTCTGAGAACAAGTTTCCTCACTCTGAGAACAAGGGTTCTTCACACTGAGGACAAGGTTCCGCACTCTGAGAACAAGGTTCCTCACTCTGAGGGCAAGGTTCCTCACACTGAAGACAAGCTTCCTCACTCTGAGGACAAAGATTTCCCCTTTGAGGACAAGGTCCTCACTCTGAGGACGAGGTCCTCATTCTGAGGACAAGCTTCCGCCCACTGAAGGCAGGTTCCACAGACTGAGGACAAGGTTCCTCGCTCTGAGGACAAGGTTCCCCACTCTGAGGACAAGGTTCCTCACTCTAAAGACAAGGATCCTCACTCTGCGAACAAGGTTCCTCACTCTGAGAACAAGGTTTCTCACTCTGAGGACAAGGTTCCACACTCTGAAGTCAGGTTCCTCACTCTGAGGACAAGGTTCTTCACTCTGAGGACAAGGTTCTTCACACTGAGGACAAGGTTCCGCCTTCTGAGAAGAAGGTTCATGACTCTGAGGACAAGGTTTCTCACTCTGAGGACAAGGTTCCTCACTCTGAGGAAAAGGTTCCTCACACTGAGGACAAGGCTCCTCACTCTGAGGACAAGGTCCCTCACTCTGAGGACAAGGCTCCTCACTCTGAGGGAAGGTTGCTCACTCTGAGGACAAGTTTCCTCACTTTGAGGACAAGGGTCTTCACACTGAGGACAAGGGTCCGCACTCTGACAACAAGGTTCCTCACTCTGAGGACAAGGTTCCTCACTCTGAGGACAAGGTTCCTCACTCTGAGGAAAACGTTCCTCACACTGAGGACAAGGTTCCTCACTCTGTGGACAAGGCTCCCCACTCTGAGGACAAGGTTCCTCATTCCGAGGAGAAGGTTCCTGACTCTGAGGAGAAGGTTCCTCACACTGAGGACAAGGTTCCTCACTCTCACGAAAACAAGGTTCCTCACTCTGAGAACAAGGTTCCTCACTCTGAGAACAAGGGTTCCACAATCTGAGGAGAAGGTTCCTCACACTGAGGACATAGTTCCTTACGCTGACAACAAGCTTCCTCACTCTGAGAACAAGATTCCTCACTCTCAGGAGAAGTCTCCTCACTCTGAGGACAAGGTTCCTCACTCTGAGGACAAGGTTCCTCACTCAGAGGACAAGGTTGCTCACACTGAGGACAAGGTTCCTCACTCTGAGGAAAACGTTCCTCACACTGAGGACAATGCTCCTCACTCTGATAACAAGTTTCCTCGCTCTGAGGACAAGGTTCCTCACTCTGAGAACAAGGTTCCTCACACTGAGGACAAGGTTCCTCACACTAAGGACAAGGTTCCTCAATCTGAAAACAAGGTTCCTCACTCTGAGAACAAGGTTCCTCACTTTGAGAACAAGGGTTCCTCAATCTGAGGAGAAGGTTCCTCACACTGAGGACATAGTTCCTCACACTGAGAACAAGCTTCCTCACTCTGAGAACAAGGTTCCTCACTCTCAGGAGAAGGCTCCTCACGCTGGGGACAAGGTTCCTCACTCTGAGGACAAGGTTCTTCACTCTGAGGACAAGGTTCCTCTCTCTGAGGAAAACGTTCCTCATACTGAGGACAAGGCTCCTCACTCTGAGGACAAGGTTCCTCACTCTGAGGGAAGGTTCCTCACTCTGAGGACAGGTTTCCTCACTTTGAGGACAAGAGTCTTCACACTGAGGACAAGGGTCCGCACTCTGACAACAAGGTTCCACACTCTGAGGACAAGGTTCCTCACTCTGAGGACAAGGTTCCTCACAATGAGGAGAAGGTTCCTCACTCTGAAGACAAGGTTCCTCACACTGAGGACAAGTTTCCTGACTCTGAGGACAAGGTTCCTTTGTCTGAGGACAAGGTTTCTCACTGTGAGGACAAGGTTCCTCACTGTGAGGACAAGGTTCCTCACTCTGAGGACAAGGTTTCTCACTCTGAAAACAAGGTACCTCACTTTGAGAACGAGGTTCCTCACACTGAGCAAAAGGTTCCTCACACTAAGGACAAGGTTTCTCACCCTGAAAACAAGGTTCCTCACTCTGAGAACAAGGTTCCTCACTCTGAGAACAAGGGTTCCTCAATCTGAGGACAAGGTTCCTCACACTGAGGACATGGTTCCTCACACTGAGAACAAGTTTCCTCACTCTGAGAACAAGGTTCCTCACTCTGAGGACAAGGTTCCTCACTCTGAGGGCAAGGTTCCTCACACTGAGGACAAGTTTCCTCACTCTGAGGACAAGGATCTTCACTCTGAGGACAAGGTCTCCACTCTGAGGACAAGATCCTCACTCTGAGGAGAAGGTTTCGCCCTCTGAAGGAAGTTTCCTCCGACTGAGGACAAGGTTCCTCGCTCTGAGGACAAGGTTTCTCACTCTGACGACAGGGTTCTTCACACGAAAGACAAGGTTCCTCACTCTGAGAACAAGGTTCCTCACTCTGAGGCAAGGTTTCTCACTCTGAGGACCAGGTTTCTCACTCTGAAGTCAGGTTCCTCACTCTGAAGACAAGGTTCCTGACTCTGAGGACAAGATTTTTCGCACTGAGGACAAGGTTCCGCACTCTGACAACAAGGTTCCACACTCTGAGGACAAGGTTCCTCACTCTGAGGACAAGATTCCTCACTCTGAGGAAAAGGTTCCTCACACTGAAGTCAAGGCTCCTCACTCTGAGGACGAGGTTCCTCCCTCTGAGGACAAGGTTCTTCACTCCGAGGACAAGGTTTCTCACTCTGAGGACAAGGTTCCTCACTCTGAAGTCAGGTTCCTCACTCTGAGGACAAGGTTCCTTTCTCTGAGGACAAGGTTCTTCACACTGAGGACAAGGTTCCGCACTCTGAGAAGAAGCTTCCTCACTCTGACGACAAGGTTCCTCACTCTGACGACAAGGTTCCTCACTCTGACGACAAGGTTCCTCATTGTGAGGACAAGGTTCCTCACTGTGAGGACAAGGTTCTTCACTCTGAGGACAAGGTTCGTCACTCTGAGAACAAGGTTCGTCACTCTGAGAAAACGTTCCTAACACTGAGGACAAGGCTCCTCACTCTGAGGACAAGGCTCCTCTCTCTGAGGACAAGGTTCTTCACTCTGAGGAGAAGGTTCCTCACTCTGAGGAGAAGGTTCCTCACACTGAGGACAAGTTTCCTCACACTGAGGACAAGTTTCCTGACTCTGCGAACAAGGTTCCTCAGTCTGCGGACAAGGTTCCTCACTGTGAGGACAAGGTTCCTCACTTTGAGGACAAGGTTCCTCACTCTGAGGACAAGGTTCCTCACTCTGAAAAGAAGGTACCTCACTCTGAGAACGAGGTTCCTCACACCGAGCAAAAGGTTCCTCACACTAAGGACAAGGTTCCTCTCCTGATAACCAGTTTCCTCACCCTGAGAACAAGGCTCCTTACTTTCAGAACATGGATTCCTCGATCTGAGGACAAGGTTTCCCACACTGAGGACAATGTTCCTCTCTCTGAGGGCAAGGTTCCTCCCTCTGAGGGCAAGGTTCCTCACTCTGAGGACAAGGTTCATCACTCTAGTGACAAGGTTTCTCACTCTTAGACAAGGTTCCTCACTCTGAGGACAAGGTTTCTCCCTCTGAGGACAAGGTTCCTCACTCTGAAGTCAGGTTTCTCGCTCTGAGGACAAGATTCCTCACTCTGAGGACAAGGTTCCTCACAATAAGGACAAGGTTCCTCACTCCTAGAACAAGGTTCCTCACTTTGAGGACAAGGTTCCTCACTCTGCAACCAGGTTGCTCACACTGAGGAGAAGATTCCTCACTCTGACGACAAGTTTCCTCCCTCTGAGGACAAGATTCCTCACTCTGAGGACAAGGTTCCTCACACTGAGGACAAGAGTCCTCACTCTGAGGAAAGGTTCTTCACACTGAGGACAAGGTTCCTCATTCTGAGGAGAAGGTTCCTCACTCTGAGGGCAAAGTTCCTCACAATGAGGACAAATTTCCTCACTCTGAGGACAAGGATCTTCACTCTGAGGACAAGGTCCTCACTCTGAGGAGAAGGTCCTCACTCCTTCTCCTCAGAGTGAGGAACCTTGTCCTCATAGTGAGGAACCTTCTCCTCAGAGTGAGGAACCTTGCTCTTAGAGAGAGGAACCTGCTTTCAGAGTGAGGAACCTTGTCCTCACAGCGAGGAAGTTTGTCGCCATAGCGAGGAACCTTTTCCTCAGACTGACGATCCTTGTTTTCAGAGTGAGGAACACTGTCCTCAGTGTGAGAAACATTGTTCTCACTGTGAAGAACCTTGAGCTCAGAGGGAGGAACCTTTTCCTCAGAGTGAGGAACCTTGTCCTCAGAGTGCGGAACCTTGTCCTCAGGTTGAGTTACCTTGTCCTCAATGTGAGGAAACTTGTCCTCAGAGTGAGGAACCTTGTCTTCAGGGTGAGGAACCTTGTTCTCAGTGTGAGGAACCTTTCTCTCAGAGTGAAGAACCTTCTCCTCAATGTGAGGAACTTTTTCCTCATTGTCAGGAATCTTGTCCTCAGGGTGAGGAACCTTGTTCTCAGAGTGAGGAACCTTGTCCTCAGTGTGAAACACCTTGTTCCCAGCGTGACAAACCTCGTCCTCAGACTGAAAAACCTTGTTGTCAGAGTGAGAACCTTGTCCTCAGTGTGAGGAACCTTGTCCTCAGATTGAGGAACCTAGTTCTCAGTGTGAGGAAACTTGTTGTCAGAGTGAGGAGCGTTATCCTCAGTGTGAGGAACCTTGTCCTCAGTTTGAAGGCCCTTGTCCTCAGAGTAAGGAACCTTGTCCTCAGAGTGAGGAACCTTGTCCTCAGAGTGAGGAACCTTGTTCTCAGATTGAGGAACCTTGTCCTCAGAGTGAGGAACCTTGCCCTTAGAGAGGAACCTGCCTTCAGAGTGAGGAACTTTGTCCTCGATGTGAGGAACTTGCCTTCAGAGTGAGCAACGTTGTCCTCAGAGTAACGAAGCTAGTCCCCATAGTGAGGAACATTGTCGTCAGGGTGAGGCACCTTGCCCTCAGTGTGAGGAATCTTCTCCTCAGAGTACGAAACCTTGTCTTCAGAGTGACGAACCTTGTCCTCGGAGTGAGGAACCTTGTCCTCATAGTGAGGAACCTTGTCCTCACTGTGAGGAACCTTGCCCTTAGAGAGAGGAACCTGCCTTCAGAGTGAGGAAACTTGTCCTCAGTGTGAGGAACTTGCCTTCAGAGTGAGGACCCTTGCCCTCAGAGTGAGGAAGCTTGTCCCCATAGTGAGGAACCTTGTCCTCAGTGTAAGGAACCTTGTCCTCAGTGTAAGGAACCTCGTCCTCAGTGTGAAGAACCTTGTCCTCAGAATGAAGTACCTTGTCCTCAGAATGAGGTACCTTCTCCTCAGCGTGAGGAACCTTGCGGTCAGAGTGAGGAACCTTGTCCTCGGAGTGAGGAACCTTGTCCTTAGTAAGAGGAACCTGCCTTCAGAGTGAGCAACCTTGTCGTCAGTGTGAGGAACCTTGTCCTCAGTGTGAGGAACCTTGTGCTCAGAGTTAGGAACCTTGTCCTCACAGTGATGAACCTTGTCCTCAGAGTGAGGAACCTTCTCCTCACAGTGAGGAACCTTCTCCTCAGAATGAGGAATCTTGTTCTCAGAGTGAGTAACTTTGTCCTCAGCTTGAGGAACCTTGTCCTCATAGTGAGGAACGTTGTCCTCTAGTGACAAGGTTTCTAACTCTGAGGACAAGGTTTCTCACTCTGAGAACAAGGTTCCTCACACTGTAGACAAGGTTCCTCTCTCTGAGGACAAGGTTCCTCACTCTGATTACAAGGTTTCTCACTCTGAGGACAAGGTTCTTCAATCTGAGGGCCAGGTTCATCACACCGACGAAAAGGTTCGTCACTCTGAGAACAAGTTTCGTTACTCTGAGGACAAGGTTCATCAATCTGAGGACAAGGTTCCTCCCTCTGGGGGCAAGGTTCCTCACTCTGAGGACAAGGTTCCTCACTCTAGTGACAAGGTTTCTCACTCTGAGGACAAGGTTTCTCACTCTGAGGACAACGTTCCCCACTCTGAGGACAAGGTTCCTTACTCAGAGGACAAGGTTCCTCATTCCGAGAAGGAAGTTCTTCACTCTGAGGACAAGGTTCCTCACACTGACGAAAAGGTTCCTCACTCTGAGAACAAGTTTCGTTACTCTGAGGACAAGGTTCCTCACTCTGAGGACAATGTTCCTCTTTCTGAGGGCAAGGTTCCTCCCTCTGAGGGCAAGGTTCCTCACTCTGAGGACAAGGTTCATCACTCTAGTGACAAGGTTTCTCACTCTTAGACAAGGTTCCTCACTCTGAGGACAAGGTTCCCCAATCTGAGGACAAGGTTCCTCACTCTGAGGACAAGGTTCCTCACTCTGATTACAAGGTTTCTGACTCCGAGGACAAGGTTCGTCACTCCGAGGACAAGGTTCCTCATTCTGAGGACAAGGTTCCTCACTCTGAGGACAAGGTTCCTCACTCTGAGGACAAGTTTCCTCCCTCTGAGGACAAGGTTCCTCACTCTGAAGGCAGGTTCCTCACTCTGAGGACAAGGTTTCTCTTTCTGAGGACAAGGTTCCTCACTCTGAGGACAAGGTTCCTCACACTGCGGACAAGGTTCCCCACTCTGAGGACAAGGTTCCTCACTCTGACGACAAGGTTCCTTACACTGAGGAGAAAGTTTCTTACTCCGAGGAAAAGGTTCCTCACCTTGAGGGCAAGGTTCCTCACTCTGAGAACAAGGTTCCTCTCTCTGAGGACAAGGTTCCTCAAGCTGAGGACAAAGTTACTCACTCTGAGGACAAGATTCCTCACTCTGAGGACAAAAGTTCCTCACTCTGAAGACAAGGTTGCTCGCTCTGAAGGCAGGTTCCTCACTCTAAGGAGAAAGTTCCTCACTCTGAGGACAAGGTTTCTTACTCTGAGGACAATGTTCCTCACCCTGAAGACATAGTTCCTAACTCTGAGGACAAGGTTCGACACTCTGAGGACATAGGCACTTCACTCTCAGGACAAGGTTCCTCACTCGGAAGACAAGGTTCCTCCGTGTAAAGGCAGGTTCCTCACACTAAGGACAAGGTTCCTGATTCTGAGGACAAAGTTCATCACTCTGAAGGCATGTACCACACTCTAAGGACAAGGTTCCTCACTCTGAGGGCAGGGTTCCTCACTCTGAGGACAAAGTTCCTCACTCTGAGGACAAGTTTCCACACTCTAAGGACAAGGTTCCTCACTCTGAGGTCAAGGTTCCTCATTCTGAGGACAATGTTCGTCAGTCTGAGGACAAGGTTCCTCTCTCAGAGGACAAGATTCCTCACTCTGAGGACAAGCTTCCTTACTCTGAAGACAAGGGTCCTCACACTGAGGACAAGGTTCCTCAATCTGAAGACAAGGTTCTTCACACTGAGGGCAAGGTTCCTCAAACTGAGAACAAGGTTCCTCATTCTGAGAACAAAGTTCGTCTGTCTGAGGACAAGGTTCCTCACTCTGACGACAAGGTGCTTCACACTGAGGACAAGGTTCCTCACTCTTAGAACAATGAGGAACCTTCTCCTCAGAGTGAGAACCTTGTCCTCAGTGTGAGGAAGCTTGTCGTCAGAATGAGGAAACTTGTCCTCAGAGTGAGGAACCTTCCTTCATAGTCAGAAACCTTGTCCTCAGAGTGCGGAACCTAGTCATCAGAGTGAGGAACTTTTTCCTCAGAGTGAGCAATCTTGTCCTAAGAATGAGGAATCTTGCCTCAGTGTGTGGAACCTTGTTCTCAGATAGAGGAACTTTGTCCTCATAGTGAGGAACCTTGTCCTCAGAGAGAGGAACCTGCCTTCAGAGTGAGGAACCTTGTACTCAGATTGAGGAAACTTGTCTCCAGACAGAGGAATCTTGTCCTCAAAGTGAGAAACCTTGTCCTCAGAGAGAGCGACCTTGTCCTCAGACTGAGCAACCTTGTCCTCAGAGTGAGCAACCTTGTCCTCAGAGTGAGGAACCTTGTCGTAAGTGTGAGGAACCTTGTCCTCAGAGTGAGGAACCTTCTCCTCAGAGTGAGGAACCTTGTTCTCAGAGTGAGGAGCCTTGTCCTCAGAGTGAAGAGCCTTGTCCTCAGTGTGAGTCAGGAGCCATTTTCTCAGAGTGAGGAATTTTGTCCTCAGACTGAGTTACCTTGTCATCCGTGTGAGGAACCTTATCTTCCGAGTGACAAAACTTCTTCTGAGAGTGAGGAACCTTTTCGTCGGTGAGAGGAACCTTGTCCTCAGAGTGAGGAACCTTGTCCTCAGAGTGGGGTACCTTGTCCTCAGAGTGAGGAACCTTGTCCTCAGAGTGAGGAACCTTGTCACTAGAGTGAGGAACCTTGTCCTCAGAGTGACGAACCTTGCCCTCAGAGAGAGGACCTTGTCCTCAGAGTGAGGAACCTTTGTCCGCAGAGTAACGAAACTTGTTCTCAGAGTGAGGAACCTTTTCGTCAGTGTGAGGATCCTTGTCCTCAGAGTGAAGAAACTTGTCCGCAGAGTGAGGAACCTTGTTCTCAGAGTGAGGAACCCTGTCCTCAGTGTGAGGATCCTTGTCCTCAGAGTGAGGACCCTTGTCTTCAGTGTGAGGAACCTTGTTCTCAGAGTGAGGACCTTTGTCCTCAGAGAGAGGAACCTTGTCCTCAGAGTGACGAATCTTGTTCTCAGAATGAGGAACCTTTTCGTCAGTGTGAGAAACCTTCTCCTCAGAGTGAGGAACCTTGACCTCAGAGTTACGAAACTTGTCCTCAGAGTGAGGAACCTTCTCATCAGAGTAAGGAACCTTGTCCTCAGAGTGAGGAACCTTGTCTTCAGAGTGAGGAACCTTGTCTTCAGAGTGAGGAAACTTGTCCTCAGAGTGAGGAACTTTGTCCTCAGAGTGAGGAACCTTGTCCTTAGAGTGACGAATCTTGTCCTCAGAGTGAGGAACCTTGACCTCAGAGTCACGAAACTTGTCGTCAGGGTGAGGAACCTTCTCATCAGAGTGAGGAACCTTGTCCTCAGGGTTAGGAACCTTGTCCTCAGAGTTAGGAAACTTGTTCTCAGAGTGAGAAACCTTGTCCTCAGTGTGAGGAACCTTGATCGCAGAGTGAGGAACCTTGTCCTCAGTGTGAGGAACCTTGTCCTCAGAGTGAGGAACCTTGTCCTCAGAGTGACGAAACTTGTTCTCAGAGTGAGGAACCGTTTCGTCAGTGTTTGGAGCCTTGTCCTCAGCGTGAGGAACCTTGCCTTCAGAGTGAGGAAGCTTGATCTCAGAGTGAGGAAACTTGCCCTCAGAGTGAGGAACCTTGTCCTCAGAGTGAGGAACCTTGTCCTCAGAGTGAGGAACCTTGTCCTCAGAGTGGGGAACGTTGTCCTCAGAGTGAGGAACCTTGTGATCAGAGTGAGGAACCTTGTCTTCAGAGTGAGGAACTTTGTCCTCAGAGTGAAGAAACTTGTTTTCAGAGTGAGGAGCCTTTTCCTCAGTGTGAGGAACCTTGTCCTCAGAGTGAGGAACCTTGGCCTCAGAGTGAGAAACCTTGTCACCAGAGTGAGGAACCTTGTCCTTAGAGTGAGGAACCTTGTCAACAGAGTGAGGAACCTAGTCCTCAGAGTGAGGAACCTTGTCCTCAGAGTGAGGAACCATGTCCTCAGAGTGAGTTACCTTCTCCTCCGAGTGAGGAACCTTGTCTTCAGAGTGACGAAACTTGTTCTCAGAGTGAGGAACCTTTTCGCCGGTGTGATGAACCTGGCCCTCAGATTGAGGAACCTTGTCCTCAGAATGAGGAACCTTGTCCTCGGAGTGACGAACCTTGTCCCCAAAGTGAGAAACCTTGTAACCAGAGTGAGGAACCTTGTCCTCACAGTGGGGAACGTTGTCCTCAGAGTGAGGAACCTTGTGATCAGAGTGAGGAACCTTGCCTTCAGAGTGAGGAACTTTGTCCTCAGAGTGAGGAAAGTTGTTTTCAGAGTGAGGAACCTTTTCCTCAGTGTGAGGAACCTTGTCCTCAGAGTGAGAACCTTGGCCTCAGAGTGAGAAACCTTGTGACCAGAGTGAGGAACCTTGCCTTCAGGGTGAGGAACCTTGTCCTCAGAGTGAGGAACCTTGTCCTCAGAGTGAGGAACCTTGTCCTCAGAGTGGGGAACGTTGTCCTCAGAGTGAGGAACCTTGTGATCAGAGTGAGGAACCTTGTCTTCAGAGTGAGGAACTTTGTCCTCAGAGTGAGGAAACTTGTTTTCAGAGTGAGGAGCCTTTTCCTCAGTGAGAGGAACCTTGTCCTCAGAGTGAGGACCCTTGACCTCAGAGTGAGAAACCTTGTCACCAGAGTGAGGAACCTTGTCCTTAGAGTGAGGAACCTTGTCAACAGAGTGAGAAACCTAGTCCTCAGAGTGAGGAACCTTGTCCTCAGAGTGAGGAACCATGTCCTCAGAGTGAGTTACCTTCTCCTCCGAGTGAGGAACCTTGTCTTCAGAGTGACGAAACTTGTTCTCAGAGTGAGGAACCTTTTCGCCGGTGTGATGAACCTGGCCCTCAGATTGAGGAACCTTGTCCTCAGAATGGGGAACCTTGTCCTCGGAGTGACAAACCTTGTCCCCAAAGTGAGAAACCTTGTAACCAGAGTGAGGAACCTTGTCCTCAGAGTGGGGACGTTGTCCTCAGAGTGAGGAACCTTGTGATCAGAGTGAGGAACCTTGTCTTCAGAGTGAGGAACTCTGTCCTCAGAGTGAGGAAAGTTGTTTTCAGAGTGAGGAACCTTTTCCTCAGTGTGAGGAACCTTGTCCTCAGAGTGAGGAACCTTGGCCTCAGAGTGAGAAACCTTGTCACCAGAGTGAGGAACCTTGCCCTCAGGGTGAGGAACCTTGTCCTCAGAGTGAGGAACCTTGTCCTCAGAGTGACGAAACTTGTTCTCAGAGTGAGGAACCTTTTCGTCAGTGTCTGGAGCCTTGTCCTCAGAGTGAGGAACCTTGCCTACAGAATGAGGAACCTTGTCCTCAGAGTGAGGAACCTTGTCCTCAGAGTGAGGAACCTTGTCCTCAGCGCGAGGAACCTTGTCCACAGTGTGAGGAACCTTCTCCTCAGTGTGAGGAACCTTGTCCTCACAGTGTGGAACCTTGTCCTCAGTGTGGGGAACCTTGTCATCAGAGTTAGGAACCTTGTCCTCAGAGTAAGGAACCTTGTCCTCAGAGTGAGGAGCCTTGTCCTCCGAGGGAGGAACCTTTTCCTCTGAGTGAGGAACCTTGTCCTTAGAGTGACGAACCTTGTCCTCAGAGTGAGGAAACTTGTCATCAAAGTGAGGAACCTTGTTCTCAGAGTGAGGACCCATGTTCTCAGAGTGAGGAACCTTGTCCTCAGCACCGTTCGAGATGAACGGTCAATGATTTTGAAGCTCCGCCATAAAATTTGAATAATATTTTTATTAATTAAGTTATGGCAACAAAAGCACTTTTAAGCGTCAATATTTTCGCGACAAAATATGTTATTTTTTTACTGCATCCTTGACGTCACAGTTGAAGCAAAATGCATCACCAACGTCACGTTAGATTCGATTGGCATCCATTTTGCATCAGTAAATGCATCGGTCCCGAGTCCTTTTCCGCGTGAAATCTAACGTGACATCATCAAATCTATTATTTTAGAACCCTACGTCACAGAAGAGATTTGTGCCTACGTCACGTTAGATTTGGCCGCTGAGCGATGCATCGCATGCAGATTGCGTGCCCTCGCATCAGTGCACTGATCACTGAGCTATAATATAACTGGAGGAGCTGCTCCTATCTTTCCGCCAGTCATTCAAGTGAAGCCAAAAACATGGCGGATCTTACGCCATTGCCATGACTACTGGTTCATATTTCTCATGGTAATTACCACTGACCAACCGCGATCCTACACTTTAAACAATATCTTTCACCCCCCAGGTTTTTTTTCCACAAATATGAAATATTTTGGTTTAGTTTGTCTTTGAACTGAAATTCTTGATATTTTTCATCAATTTTGTCTGTTTTACAATTCAGGGCAGACGGTGCATATTTGCTGTACCTGTTTATATGGCTCTAAAAGAAGAATATTACCGGTAAGATTCACTATTTTTTTACTTTCTCGCTTGGCAACGTTGCCATATATTTTTAACACTCGTGGATATCTCAAAACCTGATGCTATATTAAAACTGCGAGTTTTACTAGTTATAGCAGTTTTTCACTTCTACGTTGACATTGTAGTTTTAAGCAACTTTTCCTGGACAAACTCTTTCCTGTCTTGTTTTATTAAACTCATTTCTTGGGTTTCGTGGTGCTTCGGCTTGTGTTTTGTTTTTAAAATTTTTTATTCTTTTAAGTTTTTTATTTTTAAGTGGTAGTTTTGCCAGGTTTTTGAAATAGCAGCTATCTACTGTGTAGATTTGTATTTTATGCACGACATGTAGGGTGTGAGTGCACAGCCAACCTTTCCAGCACTCTCCAAAAGTTCAGCATGAAGCAGTTTATATTATTTAACCCATTGAGGGCCAGAATGTTTAACTATAGACACATGAGCAGATAGCCTCATTAATCCATTGAGGGCCTGCACTCTCCCCTTGACGAGTAAAATAACCTGGCGTTTGACAGAGTGAAATAATAAAGTAGGGTGCATCAGGACACAATGCGACTTTCTGGGTTAAACATGAGTTTTATGATTTGTAGCACTACCCACATTGTATTATTAACCCTTTAAGTGGCAATGTGCCCAGATGCACCCTACATTATTATTTTATTCTGTCTAACGCTGGACAATTTTACTCGTCACAGGGAAGGTGCTGCCACTCAACATATTTAGGTTAATATCGATCTTCGATTTAGCTGGAATGACCCACTACATGCCATTTGCTACTGTAAAATTGTAAATATGCCGGATTTTTCTTATCTAGGCGCTGTACTGAAATGTGAAAAAGAAAGCCACCCAAGGTCAATGTTCAAATAGCAAGAGTGGTGTTGTAGACATGAGACATGTAGTGGTGCACCATATGTTAAAATTAAATATTGTCCAACTTACAAAAGTAAGGGCCCTGGCCAGAATTCCTGCCCTGAACTGGAAAGATATAACTTCATTTTATCATTGCTATCAGACTGTGATAAACAGAGAATCATGTTATTGTCAGTGGTGTTTTTAAATACAACATGACTGCTTGCATTTATAATTATAACTTGTATGGTTGTATATATAGTTTGTAAAACTTTTTCTTGCTGATTTATAATTGTTCTTTTAAGAAGGTATAAACAAAATAGTGAAAACCCCTGGTGGTAATGTAGGGTAAAGGAGGGAGGGTATCTATTTATCTGTGAAATAATGATAATTTATTTCAAGCACACAGGGCTGGATTGACTGGGGGTCTAACATCCCCAGGTCCAATCTTTTGAAATGTGTCCCCCAATTTTTGTGGGCCGCTGGTTTGTCTGTTTTTACTGTTACCCTCCATAAATAAAGAAGTTGATATAAATAATAATAAAATGCCGAAATGCTGGAATTGCCAAGCATGTGAATTTTTTGGGAATGTTGTGCAAAATTGTGGCCAATTCTATAAAGGTTACGCTGAAAAAAATTTTAATTAACCTTTTTTGCAAACAACGGTTTGGGGGAAGAAACAATTACCCCCTCGCCAAAATTTTGCGAATAATTTTGGGGATCCAAAAGGCAAAGTGGCCCAAAGTTCTGTATTCACTCTCCCAAAGATGTATCGGTTGGCACGGCCCTGCAAGCACAATACAATTGTGTTTTGTGTGAGCAATGCAGAAAATAAATAAATCTCACCAAAACATGTCTTTTTGTGTGATAAATGATGTCTTAATAAAGAATGTTTAATACAGAAGGGGCTCAACAATTTTTTCATCTATATTGGGGGAGGGTATTAGATTGGGGGGGGGAGGTTTAACAGGGAGATTACAGTAGCAAACTCAAAGCTTTATTGCAGGTATCTCAGTTGCTGAGAGTATCTCAGTTGCTGAAACAAGAACCAAACATGTTTTATTCAAGTTTGGACCAGAGTTCAGTTGACCAGTAACTGAACAAAAATTTAAGCCAGAGATGGAAGTGATTTTATTTGACAATTTATAGCCATATTTATAGCCATTCCTATATAATACAATTTATATATAGTACAATTTATATATAGTACAATTTATAATCTGCCTGGCATATATTTTCCAGGTTTTAACCTAAACTGAGATCCTGTGGTGAGTGGACCCCTACAAACTATCTTATTTACTATGAACTGCACACAGTGGCACACAATAATCAAGAACGGAAATTATCAAGCCAACACACCATTGCCCAGAACCCAGGTAATATTGTGTTACCAGGTCAAGTGCCCACAGCACCATCACTTTCAACTTATCGCCCAAATCAACTCACAAGTTCACTGTGAATGATTCCATGCTTCCATGTAAAGTGGGGGAGAATGACGATTGGTTGAAAACACTAGCAAATGTTATGTTGCTCTTGCAATGAATGGAAAAGAGGCCTCAGCTTTATATGACATGATGTTAAGTTGGTACATAAGTTTCTTGACAAAACACTGATTTCTTTGACACCCTAGATCCCTCTTTTAAAGATAGTAGCACATAGTAGTTTCATGCATGTCTTCACACCTGTAAATAAAAGTTTATACTCAGCAAATCTGCCAGATAAATAAAAGTTTATACTCAGTTTATACTCTTCCTTTGATACAAATAAAAGTTTATACTCAGCAAATCTGAATAATATGAAATTCAAGCATGTTAAATTTGAACCCTTTGCGTTTGTCGGTTTGTGGGAGGAAGTGTGGTGAAATATCTCTACATTTGTACGACAAGACTTAAATAATCGTGACTAAAATATTCACTATATTGTACAAAGCTTCGCATGCTAAAAAATAAATGCATATTATATAGTTTTTCAATAGTATTTTTACCTGGCTGGCTGTACTGTAATAGCTGCGTCTCTCGCTTCAAATATCGTTTTTGCCAATATTTTGCAAGACGTTTGTTGTCTTTCCCGGACGTTTACGACTTGTACTTCTTTGAATAGATGGTCGAAGGTCGAAAAATATGTAAAAATATCAAAAACAACGAGAATTCACTGCAAAAACTCGAAAAACCTATGAATATTTTTGAAAAAACCAAGGGGGGGGGGGGTGAAAACTGTAGTGGGCTCAGAAATGAGCCTGTTCAGTGGTATTTTCATGGCCAAAAGGAACCAGTTGCCATGGAAATGGCGTGAAAATACGCCATGTTTTTGGCTTCACTTTTTTATCCCGAGCACGTCCTCCAGTAATATAGTATAGTTCAGTGGCACTGATGCAAATTGCAAAATCAAATCTACTGTGACGTAACCAGGCATTCGATTCAAGACATGGCGGCAAGGATATTTGATCAATTTGGATATGCAAACGCTATATGCAAATGGCAAATAATGCGAAGAGAAATCCCTCGAAAGAAATCCCTCGGAGAACATATAATTTACAGTCGAACCAATTACTACCAAGTGGAAGAATGGAAGGGATTTTTTTTCCCCACGAATCACGATGTGAAACTCGATCGAACTGAGGGCTCTAATTAAGTAAGTTAAATTTCTCTATATTTTTACAAATGGTAGTAAATAACTAAATTGTTCAGTTCAAGAAGCGTGTAAAGTGGAAAATGGGGTCCTGCACAATTAATATAGATTTGTATGTAATAACAAAATAATTACAGTTTGTGTCTATTACTGTTGTTGCTCTATATTCCAGAAAGCCCAGAAAGATGTTAGTGGTTGGGGGGCGGGGGTAGGGGGGGGGTAGAGTTTGACATTTTACAGAGGTTTGCTTGTCTGGAGCCAAACTAGCCCCAATACAAACTTGACAGCTTGCTTTACTGAGGCAAATTTCATCTCTGTTTACATGGGATTATATCCTGTGCCCAGACCTTCATTTTTCTCACAGCTGGCGGGCAAATAAAAATGAAGACCTGATACACATGTTATTATGTTTGTGTCCTACAACTGCCTTTATTGTTTTAACTCTGATTGGCTATTTCTGGCATGAGTATTCATGCCATATTTAATGTATTGTTTTGATAATTGGTTAATGCTATAATTAAATAATGATATATTTAGTGATTGTAACTATATTTAGCTTGTGGTTATTATGTGAAATTGACATTTCTTCTGGCACATTTTGATTGGATACCAAAAATAAAACTATAGTGTGGGTGGAAAGTAACTCTGAATGGATCAAGACTTGCATCAGTCTCTGTATGTAATTACAGAGCATAATTGCAGGTTAATGAGATTTCTAATAGTAATTAATGCAACATTGGTTAGAAGACTAAGGGGGAGTT